CCGCGGCTGCTGTGTGCGTGTGTGTGNGTTTGTGTGCGCATTCCCGCGTGCTTCCGTCTTTTTGTTTTTCTTCCCCTTCCGTAACTGTAGGTAGGCGCAACTCCGTAGACACGGTACATACATACACATATATTTATCATATTTGTCCTGCACCTGGATGGGGCTGCCGCGGGCCGGTGCTGGCAGTGGCGTTGCCGTGTGGCTTCCGTGCGGGAAACGAAGAGGCACAACGAGCAAGTGAGGCGGGGGGAGGGGGGCGCTGCGGCCCACTCGCTCCTTCCGTGCGGGCGCAGGGCGCTGCGCGTGAGGGCGTATTGGCCTGAAGCGCGGCAAGGAGCGAGTGGCCGTTCTTGTCTGCCGCCTTCGCCGGCTGTGCCCCGTGCGGCCGCAGTTGCGTGGCAAAACTTCCCTCTCGCGGAGTTCACGTGCTGGGCGCCCTGCGTGCTTGCGTCGTGGCGGGCACTGCGGCGGCGTCCCTCCTCCTCCTCCTGTTCGAGGGTGAGCAGCCGCCTGGTGTGCTCTGCTCCTTATTGCCTCAGCGCATTGCGGCACAACATGCCTCTGCAACGAGGCGGTGTCATTTCCCCACCATGAGTGGGTGGTGCCTGCGCCTGGATGCATGCACACAGTGAGATGTGGGAACGACGAGTGCAATGCGAGCAGCAGCAGCATCGCAGTCGTTTTGTGCCCTGCACTTTGCACACACGCGCCCCACTTCTGCGGGGAGGGGCGAGCGTCGTGGCGGGGCGCGTGGCCGGGGCCGCAGAATGCGGTGCCGGGGGTTCATTTGGCTGCGCCGGCAGGGGGGCGGTGGGCGGAGTGGCGAGGCCGCCCCGTGCAGTGCGGCTGCCCTGCCCCGGCTGCGTGTGCGGTGCGTGGGTGAGTGCGTGCGGGTGTGCCCCGCATCTTGTGCGGGCTGCGGTGGCCCTTGCTCTTTCTCTTTCTCTCTTGCTGAATGTGGCTGAGTGGGGCTCGTGTGTGACTATTTTCTTTGTCTCTCCCCCTCTCATTCTCCTTTTGACTGACGGTTGGTGTTCGGCTGCAGCTCAAGCCAACAGCCACTACAAGTAAAGAAGTAAAAAGATCAAGGAAAAATGCCATCCAAAGCGAACGAGGGCGGGGCCCGGGAAGAAGGAGAGCCCTGCAACTAATGCGCCGCAGCCGGAGGAGGAGGAGGAAAGGACCAGGCTGCCGTTGCCGGAGGGCTTCTACGACTCCGTGTTCAACGCGAGGTGGAGCCACGTCTTGGGGTTTCCCGAGGCCAATAAGTACGATGAGGAGGTGGTGCGGATGGAGGTGAAGGAGGGACAAGCGCCAACGAAGTCGTGGAAGTACAAGTCTCGGGGCTTGAGTTTTGAACTGGATGGCGCCGTGGAGCAATTCCGCCCGCCGCGCCCCAGGCTGATGGTGCTCTCCTCCGAGAAGGGCTGGCCGTACTCGCTGCGGGAGGGCACAGCCCTTGCCGACTGCTACGTCACCGCCGAGGCGGAGCGGGTGTGGAAACGCCTCGATGTCTTTCTGTCCATGTCTGTTCGACCCTTACACGAGTGAGACTCTGACGTGGAACGAGTTTTACTGCTTGGGACGCCCGGGATGGGGCAGTCGATGACTGTTGGCTCCTACCTCCTCCACCAGCTGCTGCACTACGACGCCGAGCAATTCCAGGTGGCTGTCTACTGCCTTGGGGGAGAGCTGGCGTACGTGTTTGACAAGACCACGCAAACGGTGACGGAGCACGAGGGTGCGGGCAGTATTGTCGATGCTATTAACGACTTGGCCGGGCACGAAAAAAAGGGTATATTGTCTACGATGTGTCGGAGGAAGGAGCACCGCCGTCGTCAGGACTACCGCCTGCTGGGTGGGGCATGATTGTGCTGGGATCCCCAGAAAAATACAACTACCAGGCACTGGTGATGCGGCTGCACACTGGCCTCACCGTCATGAACTGCCCCGACGGGAACGACGTGAAGGCGATGTGTGCCTGGAGGACGCGTGGCCGCCCCGCGCAGGAGCAAAAGGAGTACTGGGAGACTGTCGGCAGTCGCATGTCTCAGGTGGGGCCGCTGCCAAGTTACATCTTCACTGAGGCGGATTTCAATGGGCGCACTGCGGCGGTTAGCAGAGCGCTGCAGGCGATTACCCCCTCGGTTGGCAGAGACTACCTTGATCAG